GTGCACCAAGATTGGCCGCCACAGTTTGTAGAACTTCCATTGGAGTGCTCACATTTAGGGCATTGTCTCTATTGTTGGTCGCACGGGATTGCCAGGGTGAACGTCGGGCTGAATTTCGACGAATCTGCTCTCGAGGGCTGCTACAGGATTCAGCTACTATGCGGATGCGGAGTCTGTTGGGTCTCCATCTAGCCGGCTACCTGAGTATCTCTGGATTCGTATGCTGAAAATGGTATGCTGAGTTCGACCTACTAGCATACTATGCGCATGCCCCAAGATCCAGGAGCCTTGAGCATAGCTTAGTAGCTGAGATCCCACATCTGGGCTAGATACTTGCGGCCAGGTAGCAGCTACCAGTCCCTGATTCTGAATGGCTCCTAAGTGCTTGTAACTAGGAAACAGAAAAGTACCCAACTTTGATTGCAGCACCAGATATTTTTAAGAAACTTAGAGTACTAATTTCTTAGAGTCAGGTTCACAGGACTAACCTCTTAAGCCTTGGCGACCCAGATCATAGGCTTGAGCAAGGAATTCTTGCTCTTTTTTCAGATCTAAAGGAAGAACAGATCTGTTGGTTTTGAACTTGGTACATTGCTTGAGCACTTTTTCTATGGCACCTTTCACAAAGAAAACTTCATCATTGACTGATCCTCCTTTAATAGCACATTTCACAGCCATGATTTTGTGCTCTGATGAAAATGGATACTCCTTTAGGCGGATGTATTTATCTGCGACTCCATACATTTTGTTCTGTAACATAACACAGTAAAAAATTTAAAGTATAATGGTGCTGCTTGACTCAACTAAACTTATCGGTAGAAATTGAATGAATACATCATATGCCAACCTGAATTTCCAAATAAATGTACTAGAAATAAATTTACCCTGCGTCCATGCAAGTCAACATGTAATTGAGCCTTACTGCATTTACATGGCAAGCAAAAACTATTATGATGTTTTTGCAGGTTTCATGATCTTATTTTTGAGATTTAAAAGAAAATACACTGATAGAGAAATGATGATGTGGTGGGATTCTCTATCAAGAGTGGTTTCGATTCTATCCAATTAGATTCCAATTACATATTTTCTAAGACCTTTTAAAGCTTCTGAGATTTTTCCCCTTCACACAAACACAAATGGCGATAGGATTTCGAATTGTTAAACAAACCTTCATGGCCACAGCTACAAGAGCACCTTCTGTTGGTTGACCGTACAGATTTTCATCTCTGATGATAGCGTTATTGCAAACGACACCTGCTTCCAACAACCTAAAGATGGACGCATTGGCAAGGTTTATGTCATCGCATTTGAAAATTATGATTTCACCATCATCATTGTAACCCGTTCCAGTGACCTAAAAACAACAAAAAAATGAAGAGGGGAAAGTGCCATCTCAAAAAAAGTAAGAGGATATGATTAAATTTGGATCCTCTGTTTGATGCAGTGCAAAGCTTATTGTGGTTACTAGTACCATTCGAGCCTCTTTAAAACCAATTTTACAATTTTCCATAGCCGAAAATTGGCGTGCGCGTGGGATGCAGGTATTTTCACCGCATATGATATGCATGAGTTTCTAACATGTCAAACAAAAATCAGGCTGTTTGAGCTTTTTAAGTGGCTGCCTCGGTAGTCAATTTCAAAGTCCTTACAATTTTTCAGATTTTCTTCACAGTTTGTGGCTACTTTCCTAACAAGATTGAAAATTGAAATTTTTAAAACAAAATGCATTTTTAAAAAAATACCTAATTTAAAAAAAAATGATGAGAAATATGTACTACAAAGTTGGTAAACTGAGGTGGTAGTATCAAGCAAGGAGGTAAAACAGAATAAGATACTAATCATTACCTCCGCACAATATCCATCAGAGGTACGAATGGTCGTTACGGTCATTTCATTCTTAGTGATGGTGCCTGTTTTATCAGAGCAGATGACATTTACGCAACCTAGGGTTTCCACTGTAGGCAATTTTTTTACAATAGCCTTCCGTTTGGCCATCCTTAGAACTCCTAGGGCCAGAGTTACTGTGACAACAATTGGTAGGCCTTCAGGGATAGCAGCCACTGCCAAACTAGACACAAAAGAAATGGTAAAATTCTTCTTTTTTTCTTCACTTTAGCTTCCCCAGAAAAAACATCTTAGTGCCAGAAAGCTTGACATAGAGATGTTAGTGCTGCTGCATGAAGGAGAGTTTCAAATCCTAGCCGAGCACAAAAGGACACAGAAAAATATCAAACCGATCTAGGGTTGTGATAATTTGAAGTTTAGAAAATACGAGTAATTCTGAGAAAAAACTGTTACAATATTATATTGATCTACAATGCTGGGGCGCATAATCTTCAGTTTATACTGCAACTTGACACTCTCTGTCGGCGCAATAATGCACTAACCATTAGCATTTTATCTTTTGGAATACAGCAGGAGTGTTTCCCACTTAAGACTTAATTTCCACTTTGCTCAGCATAGAAAAACTGCAAAAGACTTGCTCCCCTGCAGATATGTAATTTACCAGTTTGATTACCAAGTAAAAATTTCCAGCCCATTGAATGTGTCACTTTGAAAACATGACTCTTTTTATCCTCTATTCCTCAGGTCCTTCCTTAAGGGAGCTGTCCAATTGTAATTGAAGGGAAAAAACACTACTCTTAGGGAGAAAAGTTCTTAACTATTTTTTTTTTCACTATTGCCAGAGAACCCCCCACAGACCTTATGGGAAATGGCTCTCTCTAGAATCTGTTGAAACTTGGATATGTTGCTCAGCTAGTCATTCTGATCAAAAGTTCTAATGGGCCGAAAAAAATTCCACGAGCGATTTTCGCGATATTCGCCGTTTCATGTGCGTAAATTGAGGTTTCGCTGGCTGGACCATTGTGCAGTGCTTCTTGTGCCCTTCCCTTCCAGTCTGCTCTGGCAGCTCTCCGCTTCCCCGCCTCCCATACCCAAGGCTCGGACTCCGACGCTCACGAGGCTTCACTCATTGTCACCGAGCCGGGTGGTCTTTATCACAGTGAGCGTCGGAGTTCGAGCCTCGCGTATGGGAGGTGGGGAAGCGGAGAGTGGCCGGAGCGGACTGGAAGGGAAGGGCACAAGAAGCACCGCACAACAGTCCGGCCAGCAAAACCTCAATTTATGAACATAAAACGGCAAATATCTCGAAAACCGCTCATGGGATCTTTTTCCGCCCATAGAACTTTTGATCAGAATAACTAGCTGAGCAGCATATCCAAGTTTCAACAGATTCTAGAGGGAGCCATATCCCATGAAGTCTGTGCAGGGTTCTTTGCAGTCCACTTGTAAAAATATATAATTTGGCAGTCTGACAGTCAAGTCAAAATTTCTGAGCTGTAAGGTGCACTCCTTTGGAAGCAGGACTTTTATTGATCCCCATTCCCCAGGTGTAGGCCTGTAAAGTTCAGGAAACTAGCCGCTTGCTTACCTGACTCCGATTGTCAACATGTCTAAGATAGGTCGTTGTTGAAACCAGCCAAGCAACATAATGATTCCAATGATACCAAAGGAATAGAGTGATAGTTGAGCCCCCAGAATGTCCATGCTTTTTTGGAGGGGTGTTTTTGGTGCATCTTCGGCTTGCATCATACGGAATATTTCACCAAATTCAGATTTCTCACCTGTGTTGACAACAATACCCTGTGACACAAGTAAAAGAGAAAGTCATTTACCAACAAGTTCTTTCTCTTGAAGCAGAGGAATTGAAGATTTTCCTAAAAAAGACTAGTTGAAAAAATAAAAAAAGGGTAAATTCACACTATTGTTGACGGAATTGCAGTTATTAGTTGAAGAGGAATACGTGATTCTATTTTAGAGAAAAAATTGAGAATGAACACTCTCTTTTAAAAATTAGATATCTTGATTCTGGGTTTTGAGCTCCTGATAACTCAAGATTCGTTTGGAGACCAGCACAAGAAATATGATCAATAAAAATTTTAAACTCACTTGCTCGTAAAAATATTAAATATTTAATATTTTTCCGTACAAGTGAGTTTAAAATTTTATTGATCTTGATAACTAATGAGTCGGCCATTTACGGAATGAAAATTTTTCGGTTCGCTTTGTAGTGACTTTATGGAAAATCATGATAAAATTTCATCAAAATTTAAACAGATTATTTGCCGATCAAAAACTATTTCAGCAAAATTTTCGTTCAGAAAATGAATACTATGATATATGAGCTGATGGTGCAAATAAAAATACAGATTTCTAGTAGAAGGCTTTATTTCTTAGAAGGCATGGAGCTGGATGATTGGAGAGTTTCAGCTTGAAATTTTACTATTGTTTTGTGGTTTATTTGCACTTATGACATTAAAAACAAAATAAATACTTTTTTGTTCCAGTAGTGCTACCTAGATAATGGACTCGCTAGAAGATGCAAAGTTTTGCTTGCTGTCAATATCAAAACAGTTTAAATCCATAAAGAAAAAAAAAGTGTTTGCATTTCGGGCATCTTGGATTTTTTTGATGACGTAGGTCCGCACGGAGATTTTTATCATCTATTTTCTTGAAAATGGTGTAGTTTATGGAAAAAAGGCATTTTGGATAAAGGTTTGAAAATATATCATGAGTTGATTTAAGCAAAATAATCGGACGTTATGATCTATTTTTCATACTTTGAATTCCAGATTTTGCTAGAGTACCTGTACCGACCTAAATCATGGGGTAAACGATCCTCAAGATGCAAAAACCTCCTTTTTTTCTCTATGGTTTAAATCACTAATAGTGAGCGCTGAAAAAAGAGACTGCACTTTGCCAAAGATGAGGTCCATTGGACATGATGAAAGGTGAACATGCGTTAATGCACTAAATGACCGGGTATCGTTAAAACTGGTTATAAGTTTCATAAATTACCAGAACATTTAATTTTTTGACTGACATGAGTGTTCTAAAAGTCAGCATTAACCGTGAAATTTCCTCACGAACAGGCATATTGAATGGTGTTATTTATAATAAGATTTTTATGCAAAACATACCTTGCCATTTCCACACCTTACTAATGTTCCCATGAAAGCGATATTTTTCATGTTGGTGTGACCATTGACTTTTAGCATTGGTTCCATTGATTTTGCAGCAGGCTCTGTTTCACCAGTGAAACTGCTTTCATCAATTGATAGATCTATGGCCTGAAAGAAGACATAGGATACTGTGATGAAGCAAACAATTACCTCATTTGGGAAGAAGCTTAAGAAATATTCTGATGCACTATATCTCCCATTAAACGTAATTTGCATGTATAAACAGAAACAAATCCAATGTTAAAAGGACATTGCTCATCAGTGGCGTAACGATCTCATCGGGGGCCCCCCCCCGCAGAATTTATTTTGGAAATCCCCCCCCCCCAAAATAGAAAATCACAATTTGCTTCCATATTTACATTATGCGTTATCGTATCAATATTGCAATTAAGTGCCCCCCTTCTTCCACTCCTCCCACTTCCTCTCCGATGTTGTATCAGCTAAATTAAATGTGCGTGCAGTTTCGATTAAGGATTAAGGGATTGAGGAAATTAGGACTAGGAAGGTGGAGGTTTTGAAAATTGAGGTATTTATCTTTTAAATTACGTTTTTTATTGTCTAGAAAATTTAGACAAACTCACATTAATTCCTAAGATTACTTGTTGATATATTGTTGTCTTCGGGCATTCTTTGCTACAAAAACTTTCACCACTTCTTTGACATCAATACTTCGAGCTATGTCGGACTCGATGCTCAAAACACTCAAACCAACTAATCTTTCCTGGGACATAGTACTTCGAAGATAATTTTTTATCAAAGTAAGTTTGGAAAAAGAACGTTCGGCAGTTGCAACAGTTACAGGCAAAGTTAAAAATAGTAGAAATGAAGTGCAAACGTCCGGAACACTACACGCGAGAGAATAATTTTCAATGAATAAAAAATTTGCCAGGTCCTTTATTGTTGAGCAAGCCTTTATGTCGTCTTTTAATGCAATCCTGAAACTTTGTAGCTCAGATGGGAACGTTAGTTCAATGTCCTCGGGATATTCTGATACCAATTTCTTTGCTCTATCCGTTAGCTCCTTATCAGTGGCCGTTGCGAGAAATTTGGGGTTTAAAAGTTCGAACAATTTTATGATATTATTCAACCCTTCAAATCTTGTTTTAAGTTGGCTTAAAACTATGTCTAAAGTTCCATAAAATACAGCTGTTTCAAAGTACTTCAGCGGATCTGACAAACGCTCATCTTCAGCTATTTCACCAAAATGTTTTGTGACCTTCCGGTGTCTCTTGTTCTGGAATTCGCAGGTAACACCCCATTCCTGAGCAACTGATACTGCAACAATGTACGCATCATTAAAATGGTTCCTGAAGTGAGATAGTTTGTCAGATGCATTTTTCAGCCATTCGTGAGCTTTAAAAAGGTCAGCGTCTTTGGATTGTAATTGTTTTGAGACTGGATTCACCGATTCGAGAATGAATGTATGGAGAACCAAGAGAAAAACGAACTCAAACTTTTCTAACCTTTTTAGTAGGTTTTGCGCTTTAGTTATCTCGTCGGATTTCGTGGGTGTGAGACAAATTTTTGAAAGCGCTTTCATGACATCAGGATAATTGTATCGCAGGGCTTGCAGAGCTTCAGATCTTGACGACCACCGAGTAGGGCAAAGTTTTTTCAGTTTAAGAAAATATGCTTTTAGAAGCTGCCATCTAAGGATGCTTTGGCTGAAAAATACGTAAACTTCTTCAACGGTAGCCCAAAAAACTGTATTCTCTTGTACTTGTGAAGAGGCATCATTCAAAATTAGATTTAAGTTGTGGTCGGAACAATGCACATATTTTGCGAAACTTTGCTTCTGTTCAATCCGAGTCTTCACACCTTAATAAATACCGGACATATTCGCAGCCCCATCATATCCCTGCCCGCGATACCTAGAAAGGGATAAACCTTTTTGTTCGATGCTTTGAATAATTGCGGTCTCTAGTCCCAGGACGGTTTGATCCGTGACTTCCTTAAACCCGAGAAGACTTTCTTCGATTTTCAACTTGACAGGTCTTCCTTAGAAAATATTTATCTCTGTTCGCCTTGCGAATCGCTCAAAGATTTTTTCCCCCCTAAAAATTCATGTGCTATGTGCCATGTTCGATGTACTTGGAGGCCCCCTTGAGCCGAGGCCCCCCCGAGTCGCGGGCCCTGTGGGCCCGCCCGTTACGCCACTGTTGCTCATACTTCTGATTATTCAATATCATGTTTTCATTTTTGACATTCATGCTCAAAAGAGATTTGCTGAAAGGGAGGAAAGTTATGAACAATTTTAGAAGCCAGGTACCTACCTCACTTGTGGTACGAAATTTTAGTGAGGATAATTCTGTGAGTAAAAGTATATCCAATACGTCTCAGAGAGTACTAAATAATGGATTTTCAATTTCGACAATATTGAATGAGGCTATTGTCAATTAAATTAATCCGTATAGGAGAGTGGATCAGATAGCAACAATGAGGTATGTTTCATTTGAATCAGACTGCTTGATATTCTCTTGATATAGTTGCAATTAGGAGAAAGGTGTCGAGACTAAACCAGATTTGGGAGGATTTAATTAATCAGGAATGATTCAATTACTCAGGGATGATTCAATTAGGTACTAGGTGAGTGGATGCAACTTTCACTTAAACTTCAGATTTCAGGCCTGTCACTAAAAATTATCCTTTTGATATATTTAGATGAGTCATTCCATGGGGCATTGTGCCTGAAACTGCCTGAAAAAAAAACTTCATTCCAGTGAAATCCTACTTTGCTCAAGCTACAAATTTTGCATAAAAATAAACGAAAATATTCTACACGCATCAATTCCATATCGGGACACATCCTGCAACGAGTATGCCTGCATTGTTAAAGAAATAAATTTGAAATAATCAGGGCAAATTTTCAAATGTTTTTTACAAACAAAAAAATTGCAAAAACTGCCAAGCAATTTTAAATTTTTAGCAGGCCAACAAAAAAATGTATTTTAAACTAAAAAATATTTCCTCCAGGGATAACTTAGTTGCGAAAATTTAACATTCGTGGGTAAGTATTCAGATGATTTTATCATTCATCACACATGTAAGCTCAGTCAGGTTTTCCCTAAGTCAAAAAAGCAGGTGTTCGTAGAGTTCATGTAAATATAATACCATTTGCTTATTCACTCACATATCAATTTGCGACAAGTGCATACTGAAGGCTTGGAAAATAATTCTGCAGTCAATTA